GCCTAGCGGACGATAAACGATAGAATTGCACGTGTTTAATGTATGAGGATACTCTCCTTTCCTTCATGTATGGACTTTAGGTACTTGATAAATTGCGGTCAGGAATTTTGCGAGCGGCCGGGGTTTAGGATGTTTTAGCGATGGCGGATATGATGATTAGTAGACGCCTGTATTAAATGCTTGGAATATGCCTACATTGTAGTGAACTCTGAAATACTAGATTGTAGATTGACTGATATGGAAGAGCCCTACCGCTCGGAAGCGGCCAAACCATCCGCAGCTCCATAATCCCCAAACAACCACAACCGTCATCCCCCATCTACCTCTAGCGAAGAACCAACACACCAATAATCATACAAAGTACAATGAACCACCTCCACCCCCAAACCATCTCCCCCCAAACCTTCCAACGTCTCCTATCCCTCTACCCAAAAACAGTGGACCTTCTCTCCCGCCGCAAAGCCGCCGCCAAGATCAAGCGCAAACCACCAGCGGCAGCAACACCGAAAACAAAGCAGAAATCATCATGGACATCAACAGGCACGAGATCAGAAGCAGAAGAAGAGTTTATTACTGCTAAAGCTAATGAGTTCTTGTCGGTGGATGGATTTCGGTATGAGGGATTGCCGGGGGTGGTTGCTACGAGAGCAGAGAAGGATGATGATGGGAGTGGGCATGGGTATGGGTACTTGGAGAAAGATGAGTTGGTGAGGTTGATGGAGTGGAAGATGTATATCCCCTTTCCCTTCCTTTCATTCTTTTTACCTTTCTTTCATTATATATATGAATATATATGAAAGGTGATATGATGATATTGATATGAGGAATAGGCAACACGGCACCTTCCGCCCGGCATTACTAGGCATGATACGCTCGAACTCAGAGCCTGTGGTTAGGGATGCCACGGGGAGGGCGTTTAAAGCTCTCACCACCCATCATACTTCCAAGGACGGTGGTGAGGAGAAGGAGAAGTTTCCAAGCGAAGCGTTGGATATCCTAACGAAAGCGTTACGAGGCGTGGGAGTGGCTACGGCTTCGTTGGTGTTGTCGCTTGCTTCTACTGCGGATGTACCGTTTTATAGCGATGATGTGTATTTGTGGGTTTGTATGGAGGAGGTTCCGTCTACTTCTACTTCTGGATGTGGCTCTGGGGAGGGTGAGGCTGAGGCAGCAGATAGACTCAAAAGAGGTGTGTATAAACGGTTGAATGGCGAGTTGAGTGTCAAGTATACGATGAAGGAGTATCGAGAGTTATGGGAGGGGGTGAAGGGGTTGAGGGAGAGGTTAGAAGGAAAAGAGAAGGGAGTATCTGGGTTGGAGGTGGAAAAGGTGGCGTTGGTGGTGAGGCATTATGCTTTTTTGGGGGGTGGGCAGAGTGTTGACGGGGATTGGGATGGTGGTGGTGGTGATAAGAAGGGATCTGAGGGAATGAAGGTGGAAGAAGAGGAAGAAAATACAAGGGAAAAGAGAAAGTTGGAGGATGAACGGCCAACAGGAGAAGGCAGACGGAGAAGCAAGAGATTGGACAGTCGCAGGATCAATCCTGCTTGATTATGGAGTATTTCTGAATGATATGGAAATTGATGGTTGTGATAAGTACTCATTTAGTGGAAGATTAGGATCCATTCGCCATCAGCTGCTCCATTGACGTGCATGAGATACGTAAGTTGACTTCGGACTCGGTATAAATCACCTTTTTGGGTGTAGATGTCACCGAGATGAGCTATAGAATACATGCTTACTCTAATGTAAGTAAATGAAGCTGGTTAAGCAAGAGTTAGTTTACGGGCCAATATACACAGCAATATGTTTGTTCATAGTCTAGTTGCCCCCGCAAATATGTGAAATTGCGGCGGGTCTGAGCTCCTGACGGTGTAAACCCGAATACGAATGGTTCAGCTTTTCATTATCAATCAATGAATACATGCTTAATATCATGCCAGAGGTTCCCCCGACGATGGATGAATCCACAGAACGACCTACAAGGGAATTTCTGGCCGTGGGGGAACCCTAGAACAAGGGAGATGAAGATACATACATACCAGACTTCAACGGGCCAAGGAAGCTGCAGAACTATATTATGCCCATACCAAGTAAAGAATTCATGTGTGCAGATGGCTGCCATGATTGATGACAGCCTGGCTTGGGTGCTACGAGTGGTGTAGCTATTTTCTGGGGATTGCTGTGCCTTCTACTGCCTCAAATAGCACTGTTTATAGACTGGAGGAGACTGGGGCAAGAAATGGGCAATGATCACGTGAGTAGGGTCACACTCAGGGGTTTAGTTTAAACTGGATTCATTCTTGGCTCTGAAACATCTCCTTAATTGCTTCAACTATACTATCATTCTTGGCATGATATGCATTCCGTTTTCGGTTGGCATTTACATCCTCTCTCTTCTCCGATGGCAAACCGATCCTTGGATGCAACTGCACAGCAAACCGCCGGGGAAGCCAGAGATTGCGCGGTCGCCAGATTAATGCTGCCTGATAACTGGTATATTATTATCCATCATGATCCATTTCGCCATCTGCAACTCCAGTGGCGTGCATAGCATACGTACTCGAACTGTCACCTGTCCTGTTGGCGTCCCTTCTAGTACTACTATCTCAAAGTGCCGCATTCGCAACGCCATCCGTTTTCAGACTTCCACATTCAACTTTCTACTATCGATCCCGTACCAATTCCATTCCGTTTTGTTCTATTATAACCGACGCAGATAAGGTTCTCCGACTCCGGATCCTTGGATGCTTCTCATCACATCTCACTATAATTGGCTTTTTCAACTGTCCGTCCGCGTGGTTCTCCACTACTAGCGCTGCCACCAGTGGATCCGCCTCCCACCAATTCATCCTGAAATGCCAACATGCCTACGAATCTGTCATCCCTTCTCCAGTCTAGCGCTGCATCCACACGAACGTCTGGGGCCCGGCTAACCTCTCTCCCGTTCGCTTGTTGGGTGGCTTCGGTCCATGATTTGCGACTATCCGCGTCATGCTCTGTCCCACCTCCTAACTGCCCGCGCCCACTCGCTCTCTCCGTTTGCAGCGTATCGCCTTTTTCTCCGTCGCCATGCACGACTCTTTCTTCCTCTGGCAGGCTAGTTCTCTTTCATTGACTACTACCTGCCCTGTCGTGCTTCTTCAATCTGCCGTAGATGGCCGTGCTGCTGGTTCTCTGGGCCTTGTGGCCCATACTGGCATCGGCCTTCTCATGGCATGGCCTCTGGTATGACCTGGGCTTTCTGGGTCCTCATCCCACTCTGAAATATGAGTCGTTTGACCAGGAATCTCCCGAGGTCAATGTCCTGCGCTGGGACCCGCGATGTGAAGAGGGCTACGTTTTCCTCAGCCCTCGCGGTCATTCATACCCAGACCCGGGGCCGCTAGTCTACGACAGCCAGGGGAATTTGGTATGGATTGAGCGGGAATTCGGCCAGATCATGGACCTCAAAGTCCAACGCTACATGGGGGAGGATTACCTGACATTCTGGGCGGGAGACGACGACGGCACACGGGGACTCGGCCAATATTACATGGTAGGTAGCAGCTGCATGACTGACTGGCATTGATTGAAGCTTATCATTCATAGCTAAATTCCTCCTACGACGTCGTTTACATCGTATCCCCCGCCAACGGATATACCGGCGACGTGCACGAATTCAGAATCACCGACGAGGGCACCGCGCTCATGACCATCTACGACATTTGCGAGGCGGACCTTTCCTCCGTCGACGGACCCGAAGACGGCTGGATCTACGATGGACTTTTCCAAGAGATAGACATTGCGACGGGCGAGTTGCTCTTCGAATGGCGAGCGAGCGATTACTACGACATCGACGAATCCTACTACCCCCTCGGCGAGAAAGGCTCCGCCCCAACAGCCCACGACGCCTACGACTTCTTCCACATCAACAGCATCGACAAACACCCCAACGGGAATTACCTCGTTTCGTCCCGCTACATGCACACCGTCACCTGCATCAGCCCCTGGGGCGAGATCCTCTGGGTGTTAGGCGGGAAACGCAACACCTTCAAGGACATATCCCCGGACAAGTCCGCCACGGGAATTACCTGGCAGCACGACGCACGCTGGCAGTCCGAGACAGTCATCACGCTGCTCGACAACGGAGCGCACGAGCATCTCAGCACTAGAGACCACACGCGCGGATTCATGATCGAATTGAACTTCGACGACTGGACAGCCAACACCCTGCACGTCTACGATAGTCCTGGCTCCTTTAGTAGCCACTCCCAGGGCAGCCTGCAGGTGCTTCCCCGGACCGGCCATGTCTTCATCGGCTGGGGCAAGCCATCAGCGTACACCGAGTTCACGGTGGACGGCGAAGTGCTGTGCGACTTTCACTGGGGGCCGCGCGTCTTCTTCTGGTTGGGATGGATCAAGTCGTACCGCGCGCAAAAGTTCCACTGGGTTGGACGGCCGCGAGTGCCGCCGGATGTGGCGGTCGATGAGGCGGGTGACACGGCATATGTGAGCTGGAACGGGGCGACGGATATTGCAGGGTGGGTGCTGCAGCGGGCGAGGAATTCCAGTGCGGGAGATGATGAGTTTGAGAGTGTTGCGTATACGCCGAAAGAGGGATTCGAGACGCAGGTTGATTTGATAGGAGAGGGATATTTCCGCTTGGTGGCGGTGGATTTGGAGGGGAATGAAATGGGCGTGACGAGGGGGTTTGAGGGATGCGTAAGCTACCCTGCCACTTGATGACCTTCCTAAGTACGAAGCTAACTGATACGAACAGGAGTTAACCGATATCGATATGGATGACGGCTCGACAAGCTCATTCTTCGTCTTCTCCGAACGACCCTTCCAATGGATGCTCGTAGGGACATTCACTACGGGAGCAGTAGTAGTAGGAGCATGGAGGGCGAGGAAACGCATACAGTCGATTTTTGAGAGATATTTTCGTTGATACCCATATACCCATTTGCAAGCATTATACATATACATTATCCAGCCTCCACATCGTACATTACCGATTAATATCTATACCAGATAATAAGTAAATAGTAACATTACATCCACCCTCCCCTACCACCACATAACATTAACATACATTCCAAACAATTCAACATCATCCCCACACCTCAACCCTACCATACCACACTACTACGTAGTAGTAGTATACATAGTAAGTAATCTCCTAAACCAAAGCAACAACCAACCCAGCCAACCCCATCCCCATCATCCCCATCTCCCCAACCCTAACACCACTCCCCGCCGCAGCCGCCCCCGAAGAAGTACTAGCAGGCACAGCAGTCCTACTACTCGTCGTAGACGTACTACTCACAACGGCAGTCCTGGAAGAAGTAACACTAGTAGAAGTGGAATACAGCGAATTCGCCTCCGCCGCATTACAATACTCCATTTTCTGTTGGTCCGCGGAGGTATGGTTTGGGTCGGAGGGACAGTCATTATAACACCTACATTAACACCCGGTTAGTTTATATCAATATCATCATAATTCCCATGGTTTGTAGATAGGGTATAAATGGAATGGGGGGGAAGGAGTATCATACGTAAGCATATTCTTGCTCTGCGTACACAAACACGACCAATCATTATCGGAACATTTGTCCATTTGGGGTTTCATTTGGGAGAGGCAGGCGTCGAGGATACTATTCCACCATCATTATTCCATTAGTATATGTGTATGTATGTGTGGTTTGTTTGGGGATGAAGGGAGGAAGGTATACTTCTTCGCGCATTGTTGGTAGGGGCTGCTGCTGTCGCTGTCGCTACTGCTACTACTGCCAGTAGAGGTCGGGGCTGGGGGTTGTGCGCCTGAATCTGTACCTGCTGCTGCTGCTGCGCCGGTTTCTGCGGCGGGAGAGGCGGCGGAGAGGGAGGCGAGGGTCAGGGTTAGGAGGTAGATGAGGTTCAGTTTGAGTTGCATTTTTTCTATCTCTTCTGGTCAAAGTGTTGGTGGTGTGTTGGTGGTGGGTAGAATGTGAGTATAGGATAGAAGGGTATAGTATAGTATAGTATATTTGCAAAGTGAAGAGTGACTTAGAAACACTACTCTGTTGTGGAAGGCATCAGGTTTATATCTATCTACCATCCTCGTAGTAATAATCTAAAGTACGGAGCAGGTGTAGGTATAGACCCGCTCATTATTGGTGGCGTACGATATATCATATAGTACTCTCTCTTCTGGGTACATGACTTGAGGGTCTCCAGACCGATTCTCTTGATCATTAGTTCGGCATGGAATGTCGAATATGGAAATATGCTGTGCGTCTTGGCTGCTTGCCAAATCTACACATCGGTGTAACATCATGCCAATTGGAAGTATTCGACATTCTACTCCATACACCTCGCCCAATGGCTGCGGGCGCCGCAATAATACACTATATACAGTTCACTAAGCCCACTGCCGCCCTGCCTGCTAACCGAACAATATATCGACGAAAAGAGATAGTCCCCTCTCGGATCGTCTCCTCGCAGGCATAGTCCGTAACGTTATTCGGACACCATGTTTTGCCTTGCGTCGATGCTAGAGGTCATATGCAATATCACCCATCACCTGTCTACTCTTGTCCAAAACCTAATGTCTCCTCCACGGCAATGGACAGCTTGTGCTCCAAAACGTCGTGCGTCTTGTACGGCGGCAGATCCAGTCGGTTGAAACTGGCTTAGTTAGTATGCGCTATAATCTTGCGTGAGTATAGGGGCTTACCAGGTGTGCGACTTGGGCAGCGCGATGGGATCGCCCGACTTCTCAATGGTGAACCGTCTCGGTCCGTCCGAACCCTGCAGATCCTTGAATCCATTGACCGGAATACGAGACGTTCCCGTGGTGAACTGCAGCAGACGCGACTTCTGCTCCGCATCCCAGGTGCGCACGATCTTCCAGAAGTTCTGGATCACCTCGTCCTGTTCCTGGTATCCGCGGTAATCCGTGTGCTTCTTCCAGTCATCCACATCGATGTCTGCAATACCGCCGATCAGCAGCTCCAGCTCGCGCTCGTCGAACACGTTGACCAGATCCGCCGGAATCAGCTCGTTGAAGCCCGACATGAACGCGTTGAACTGTTCCTCGACCCGCTTCACGATCTTCCATTCCGTGACCAATCTAATTCATTAGCTTTGCCAACATGGCCAATAACGTAGCAGACAGTACTTACTCGACATATTCGTGCTTGTTCTCGTTGGTAACGGGAATGTCCCGGCCCCCGGGCTTCAGATCGATCGTAGTGCGCTCACCGAACTTCTCATCGTCAACGCAGAAGGTCAACTCGATGATGCCCTCAATGTCGTTTTCCCTGTGCAGCGTTAGAATTGGCCCATAACAACATTACGGGTAACGTACAAAGTCCACGCCAGATTGCGGTGCAGATCCTCGTCCACACCCTCCATGTCCTGTAGCGACACCTTCTTCCGGAGCATCATCTTGTAGAACGCTCCGATGAAGAACGAGTCAAGGAAGCGCCGGTGGAAGATAGCCAGCCCGACCACGCGTCCAATGAACTTGAAGTAGTTCAAGTGCTCCGGGTTCACACCCGAATGTGGATTAATTTGCAGGGTATAATTATCGTGTGCGGAATACTCGAAAAGACAATAGAACGGGTTAAACATTTCGTGCGAAAGGAGGAAGAAAAATTCACTATTCAGTCAGTATTCAACCATTTCTCAGCCAAGGGGAAGAGACCTACCGGGAAAGACCACCATAATCGAGACCGTCTTCACCGTCAAACTTGATCATCAACCGCTTCTTCAGATCCGAAGCGCTCTGCCGCATGATCTCGGCGTACGAATCCTCAAAGATGTTGTTACGCCGCACCTTCACGTGGCACTGGCCGGACATGATGCGCAGCGCGGGCTGCGACCGGAAGTAGATCAGCTTGCGGCGGAAGTCACGCTTGTACTGCGGCACGCCCTGATCCAACGACGACGGCAGACGGGGATCATCCCACGTGGTGGTCTTGGTGTTGTGGTCCACAAAGTACACCCGGGCCGTATTCGTCAACCGCATTTCCCATCCACTAGGCAGAGGGCCCAGCTGAGACACCGGCTGCTGCTGGATGGTCGTGTTGCCGCCGTTGGCATTGTGTCCGTACATGCGGATGTACTGCTGTCGCCGAGGATCGACCCATGTGGTCGTCCGGGTGTTGTGGTCGACAAAGTAGGGCCGTCCCTCGGGTGTCGTCCGCTGCTCCCATCCGGGTGGGAGCTCACCAGTGCCTGCAGTGGTAGCTCCCGTGGCCATCATGGACACAGCGCTGGCGCTGCCACCGGCCGGCGGGGTATGGGCCTGCTGCGGTTGCGGTTGCGGGCTCTCCTGCAGATTTGGCGAATTGGCCCCTGTCCGGTCTTCCGGCAGCATCCGGCTCTGGTGAGCGCGGCGCTCCAGTTGCATGTTGGCCTCGCGCTGTGTGCGTTGCGTTTGCTCATTGTAGTTCGATGACGGCCGGGTCCAGGTGGTAGTCCGCGTGTTGTGATCCACGTAGTAAGTACGTCCCAAGTTATCCTCCCGTCGCTCCCAGCCAGCTGGTAGTCGACCCTGGCTGTCCTCGAAGGAACTGAGATTGGTGCGAGAACCTTGAGGGCCAGCTGGAGGGGGGGCGGCGCCATTGACGGGGCCTACCGTGCTGGTCGGCCGGGTGGTTGATGGGACTCGTTGGGGATGGAGCGACACGTTCGACGCGGCGGCGGATGGCTCGGCTTGGGCAGGGCTGACGGAAGGATGCGAAGCACTTGAAACCTGGGGAACGAGCCCACTGGAGGTCGACGACTGAGCATGTGAACGATGCAGGCCATTGGCCTGGTTCGGGATGGGGGTGCTGAGGTTGGTGGACAGGTTGATAATGAGCTTCCCGTGCACTACAAGATTATCGTTGGATTTCTTCAAATCTCGGGTGAGCATTTCTAAATCGCGCGAGACCGCTGTCAGTACGGACGACCGGAAGAGGGGGTGAACACCATCCCATCTCGTGACTCACCATCGCCACCCATCTGTAGATCTATAACATCGCCAATCCGCACATTGATCACACCGAGGAAACCTTGGTCCTTCTTCTTGAACTTCTTCTGGTCAAAGATCTGGATTGCGAGGATACTGTCTTCATTGACTCGGCTGCATGGACCGGTGATTAGTGTCGGTCCACGAAGACAGACAGATAACCCAGCGGGTCCTTACAGGTCAAACATCTCATTCCAGTAGGGGTTCAGCGTCTTCTTGATCACCGACGTCGTGTGGGTTTGCTCACCCCCGACGGTGGCCACAGCGAAGGGATCGGGAAATCCTATCGACGAAGCAAATGTCAGCTGGCAGTTATCCGTAGATCGAATGCGGGGACGTACGGAAAACATCGCGCTTGTATAACCCATCCGCTGCGATAACTATCGAGCAAACCAGTCAGTCTCACATCGTCTCCACCATATCCCATCAAGGCCGTCGAAGATTCGCCGCCGAATTAAGCTTACTTGTGACCCGAAGATTTGGTTGCCTGCAAGTCATCGATGGTTAGCAATCTGTCGGTAGCACGACGCACATACAGAACACACGATGTTGATGTTCAAGACATCACGCAAGGGGAGAATCCGAGGTATGCACATACGCTGGCAGGTTGGAACCCATCCTGGAGGGAGGGAACAGGCAGACAATGACGCGCCTCTAAGTGCAGCAAAACGGCCGATCCGGACAAGCCTCAAAAGGTAAATCGCGGCGTGCGCATCCACCGCCGTCGACAGGCACGGACACCAAGCAGCAGCGGGAGAGGGAAGTGGCGTCAGGCGAAAGTCGTGGGGGGAAGAGGAGAGGGGGGGTTGAAGGGAAAAGCGAACGGTGGAGGGTGGAGAGCGAGGGGAGAGGAGAGAGAGAGGTGGGCACGGGGGGGGAGAAAGAGATAGAGAGAGAGAAAAAGTAAGGACGATAAAAGATGAGGGTGACGATAACCAACGGGCTGAGCGAAGGCGTTTAGATGATGATGGAGAAGGAGGAGGCGCGGGCAGTCAGTCAGTCGTAGATAGTGTCTTTCCAGTCAGTCTCGCAGGCCAGTTTGGGGCTGAGCAGGGCAGTCCTGACGTTGCGCTTTGGGAGCCAATCACGGGGCCGCGAGGGGTTCGCCCGGGAGGTGCAGCAAAGCAACCACTTAATAAGTTACTAAGTAACTCACTTAACTAAGTTAACTAACTTTAGTTAACTAAATAAGTACTTCTTAGTCAAGCAGACAAGGCAGAGACACACAAACACACAGAGAGACAAAGTCGTGGGACTTTGACCCGGAGGCAACAGGGAGGAGGGGAGAGACGAGTGAAAGGTTGGCGCGGGCAAAGGCGGATCTTCTTCTTCTTCTTCCTCTACTAACTAGTAAACTAACGGGTATCCCGTTTGTGTGCTAGTCAGATTTAGTTGGGAACGATGCCCGGCTGGAAGAGTCCACGAGTATCAGAGGATGAACGGTGGGTTTTTCTCCTGGTGCTTGTTCCGATGGTCGTGGCGAGAAAGGGAAAGGAGGGGGAGGGAAAGAGAAAGGACGAGCGACTAACTAACTAACTACTGACTAGAGAGACGTCAAAGCAGCTAAGCACAACTTGTTCTAGTCTCTGTATGTACTAGAGTCATGTAGTAATTAGTGGTGGTGGTAGTAGTATCTAGTAGTAAGTAGCACGACTCTCTTCTCTATTATTCTTCACCGGTAGAATTAAAAAAAGATAGATCGATCTCTGCCGATATAAACTGTAGAAGATGCAATCGATCTCTTTGCTTCAATCTGATACTAAACAAGAAGTTAATCTAGTAGTAACTGCTACAGTCACTTACAAAATACCGAGTAACTACTCCGTACTAGTCTAGTCTAGATAGTATCGATGATTTCCCTCCGATCGTTTGGGCTGCCCGGAATTCCGCCCAAAAATCACCAGCCCCGCGGTCACTTTTTCAATACTGATACTCTCTCAGTAGAGAATAAATAGTTAAGTACGTATATGCCTATTTTCAAATTTCACTTTCACAACTCTGCAACATACTGGAAGTTAACCATATTCTATATCCCTCTCTCCCTCCGCCCCCCTCCAAGGCAGCCAAATTCTTCCCACGGAAAATTGCACTTCCCCCCCCCCCTCTTCCTCTTCATCTCCTTCTCTTCCTTCTTCCAACTGAAAACTTACCAATCAATGAATGATATCTTCACACCGTTACAGTCAATTACACAAGTATAGTGGGGCACAATACCCAAGGGAGGAAAAGAAGACGAAAAAAAGCGATATGATTCCCTCTCTCTTGCTCCGCTCTGAGGAATAAACTCGTCAGCGCCTCGCATGGGTCGGCCTTTCTAGACTCTCTCTCTCTCTTGCTGACGGAGATTGGATGCTCCTCCGTCCCCCCTTTCCCGCTTTACTATTTGATGCTTGATATTCCCTCTCCAAATGCGACATCATGCCGACCTTGCCGATAGTGATTAACAAAGCCACAGTACTTGGTAGTAATTTAGTTTTAGTGTAGGGCTGTTCTGGCTGGGTATCCCGTCCTTCATTGGTGTAGATTTTTATTATTCAGTTATATTATTTCTATTTATTTTTTTTTCTCATGACGTTATTCCCTGTTTTCTGCTGTCCTTGCTCCCTACAGTATTATTATTATTGGTGGCACGGCCAATTCCAACGCCTTGCTGCCTTTACTACATATATTTTCAATGAGCCACATATTTCACTTTTTTTTTTTTTTTTGCTGAACTCACAGCAGCTCCATTATTCTGTCTGTTCCAAGACGCAATATCCCAATTGCCCGTCCTCTTGACTAGTTTCTTTTTCTTGACGGTTCCTGTCGTAAAGCAAATTCTCTCTGTAGGCTTTATGATATCACAACAAGAAAACAAGCGACTTCAGTGCTCCACCCATCTGGCGCAGTCCGAGATTGCCCAAGGGTTATCATACAAAGTACATCCCAGTCCATAAACTCCAGAGGATTCCCTCACTAGATCAAGAGAGATGTGTGCATTTCAGACCTCGACCTGTGCGTCGCACTGGACGTCTCCACCGCGATGCCACGTCGAGTCTGCACCTAACATTCGCTCGCATGCTTCGCCTCCTAGCAGACCATGCCCTTAGTAGGGCGCATAGCCGCGACCCCGGCCACGGTAGCCACCGCGATAACCTCCACGGGGCGCAAATCCGCCACGGTACCCCCGACCACCACCACCGCGGAATCCACCTCGTCCACGACCGCGGCTCATGCCGGGCAGGTTGGTACGCTTGGGAACGACCTGTAAACCACAGAGTATTAGTATCATTCAATCGAACAATGGCCTCAATCATGCGACCTACCTTCAGGTTCCGGCCGCGGAAGACACTCTCGTTCAGGACAAGAGCCTGAGCCACTAAACTGGGTTCCGCGAATTCTACATAGGCATATCTGTAGATCATATCAGCATATGAAATCCCCTGCCTGTCAGATGAATGCGCTGCAACATACCCCTTGGGCTGGCCCGTGAACTTGTCCAGCAGGATAGTAACACGGTTTATTGAGCCGCAACTTTGAAAGTGTGCCTGGATCTCCTCGGGAGAGGCACCGTAGTCCACGTTGCCGACGAAGATACTCCGAGCGTCGATCTCCTCTTTGTCCTCACGCAGGTTCTCCGATTGCTGATCAAGTGTGGCTTGCATCTCGCGTAGCTTCGCTGCCTCGGATTCCATTTCGGCTACCCGTTTCTTCATCGCCGCAATCTCCTCCTAAGAGTCATGAAAAAGAAATGGCACATTAGCTGGATCCAGTTGAAAGACAAATCGTAAAGTCATATAGAAGCAAGCCAAGAAACCAGCAAAAGAAAGCACCAAGCGTCAGGTTTTCAGCGCAAGCCGTTCAAACGTACCTCATCATCACCAGCCTCCTCCTGGTGTTGCAGGCGCTCATCCTTGATCTCGTTCTCTTCCGTAGCCATTATTATTAGAGGTGTAGAGAGAGTCGCGTCGTTTTTTCTTCACGTCACTGAGTCGCAATGAAAGCTCAAGCGGCAACGATAGCTTCCGCGGAACTGGTCTAGTGGGCGGGGGAGGGAAAGCTGCAGGAAAAATAAAAGGTCCGAGAAGGGCAGAAAGGACTGGCACCTAGAACTAAACTAGGACCTGTTCAAGTAGAGAAAGTAAGATAGGTGATAGGTGACTGGAAGGTGCAGAAATCAAATGTGATGCTTGCGTTGATCGACGCCGAAGTCACTGCTTGCTCTTTCCGGCCTAGCAGGTTTGTCATTGGACCACTCCCGTCGGTACCGCTCTACATCATCCTGAGCCCCTAGGACTCGGCAAGTTCCTGTCGCATTGGCAGATGTTGGGATTCAATCCATCGCTACGTACGTATTTCCCAAGGCTTGCGGACCTCTAAATGTCTTTTTTTTCTTTCCTTTTAAGTTCGGAAACATCAAAGTTACGTAAAAATGTCCACTGTACAGCAAGGAGCCTGTCAATCTCCGTAGCAATTACCGCGTCCTCAGTATAATGCCGATAGGACCTATCATCTCCTTGGGTAGGGGTCTTATTTGCAGCAGGAATCATGCTACATGTCAGCTACTGCCCTACGTGATGCGATGTGTTCAGGACAGACCATGGATTGCAACCGGACATCACTATCAACCAATTCAACATGAACAACATGAACAACAGTCGCATAGGTTAGAAGAACATCATTATCGTGCCTGGTTCTATGTATGTACAATAAGAAATTATAAAGCGTCAACTCATGAAGAAGGGATATTGTTCTTGCGGTAAGATACTTTCTCGACCGCGACCGTCTCAACCCCGTTGGCGTCCGTCTTCAGCTGGTAGACATACAACACGAGAACATCGCCTTGAATCTGCGATACTTTGTTAGCATATAGCACGCACAAAGTCTTGCAGCAGGCCACTGTAAAGTTGCGCGACTTACATCCATCAAACAGAAACTAGGTGTCGGCTCCTCCCCTTCAGGCCAGTACCCCGTGCTCATGGCTCCGGTGGCACTGCCCGGGTTGATAAAGAATCTCCCCTCCAACTCAAAAGCTTCAAAGCGGTGGGTTCCACCCCATAGCAGTATATCGACATCCATCTGGCGTGCAGCGATTAGAAGGGCATCGGCGTCCCCCGGCGGGATGATGGTGTGGCCATGAGTAAAGCCGATGCGGAGACTCCCGTGAGTCACCACTTTGGAGAGGGGTAGGTTTGGGGAATCGACATCGAAGTCGCCTTTGACCAATTGCAAGTCTGGAGCGACCTGTCGGAGGAATTCGAAGGTGCTCCGATCGGTGAGATTGCCGAGACAGAGGATCTGGCCGATCTTGCCTGGCGTCAGGAGTTTCCGGAACTGTGCGCGTGTTAATCGAGAACGGGGGATTGCGAAACAGAGAGGAGGATCAGGAGGGATGGAGCAAAAGTGCGCACCTTGGCCGGAAGGTCCTAGCGAGTACAAGTCAGCAGACAGGTCAACCTGCGAGGATGCGATAAGGGATGAGGGGATGCGTACGGGGGCTCTGTCGGGGATGAAGAGGTCACCAATGACCAGGACTAGACGGGAAGTCATCCTAGAAGAAGCAAGCAAGCAGGTACTCAAGGCCCATTCCAAGTGGGCGTGATCTTGGGAGTATGATTGGCGAGAAGTGGTAGGCGGACAGCAGACAGCGACAGTGATGGGAACGGGAATGGGAAATTAAGCTACGTATTGACTATCAGTTGCTCCTCCGGCGCGATGGAGCTCCGCGGGGAAAGCTTATGGACGCCCGCCGATGGATGCCTGCCACCCCGGGCTGCCCTAAGCCCTATCCTACAAGCCGTTCGGGGTTAGCCTCTGTAGGTCACTTGGCTGGACAACTATTCATAAGTCGTTCTATTATAGGAGGCTCTATGCGACAATTTCAGTACTCTTAACTATACAGGTTAGAGGTGTCGCGGTGCCATGTTGTATCGTGTATGCTGGTAGAAGATTGCTGAGTAATCGACCGCTTATTCTTGTCCCCAGTTCAACGCCATACGATCACTGCTGATTTGATACTCCCTCAGCATCTTAAGAACTTCCTCCACCTTTGTAGCCTCTGCAATGATACGAGCATTCTCAGGGCTCACCAGACCCTCTTTGACAGCGGCCTGGATCCACTGGAGAATCCCATTCCAGTAGCCGTTGATGTTCAGTAGGACGATGCCCGCCTTGTGGATACCAAGCTGGTTCCAGGTGGTCATTTCCATGAGTTCCTCCATGGTGCCAAATCCACCAGCAAGGGCAACGAAGCCTGACCCGGGACCGCCTTCAAGGACCTTCTGGGCCATCAATCTCTTGCGGGTATGCATGTCGGGGACGATGGTCACCATGCCGAAGTTGGATTCTTGTACGGACTGGTTCACGACACGCTCAGCAGCCTTGCCTTCCTTGCTTTGCGTGTCTGCTGCTGAGCCTTTGTAGCCTTCTTCGACCTCAACCAAGGCTTGCGGGATAATTCCCTGGACCGACTTTGGTCCTGATAATGATACCAGGGTTTTGGCGAGCTCTCCCATGATACCAACGGTACCACCACCGTAAACCAGCTGCACATTGTGCTTGTGGAAATCTTGCGCAAGCGCACGAGCTGCTTCCAGATGGCTAGGAGAGTTACCGGGATAGGAGCCGCAGCTGATTGAGAATTAGTACTATCATTCTGAGAAGTACTGAAGTATCCGGGGGAGGTCAGCCTACAAAACGCAGACCACTGCGGGTTTAGGCTCTTGGGTTGCCATTGTGATGATCCGATGGAGGGCTAAAGAGAGGGGTAGAAGATTCAAGGGATTCCAAGCGGTAAACCGACAAGTATCCTGTTTAAATGATTTGGATTAGGGACGTTGAAGAGGACAACTATTTATTCCTTTTGATGTAACCAGAATGAACGCAGACAAACTGCATGGAATGGATGGCAGGTCGTCGTCCAGCTGGAGACTCAGACCCACTTGGAAGAGAACCAAGGCTCCCCGAAGCTCAGCATCGAATGGAAGACCAACAACACCCCTCCACGACAGCATGTGGGCGCCGTAAGCAACCAGATTATTGTCTATCCAGCAGATTCGGGCAGACATGGTTTGCGCTTTCCTACAGACATCTGCGAGGCCAAAAAATAAGACAATTGCATCTTTGCTGCTATGAAACGGAGAATCAGTAGGTGGGAAGTCCGAAGGCCTGGACTGCTCCGGGTGGTCACTAATTGATTCCAAATGAAAGGACAAAGACTTGAGAATCGTGCTGACTGGTGGTCCATCTTGAGTAAGTAATTAGTTAAGTCAGTCACCAGGATGAATCTTCAGAGAATTGGCCGAGATTGTCCACATGGATATTGCAGTGAGGGCAGGACGGCGTAGTATGGGTCACTGCGCCGGTTGTGGCTGTTACTGAGATCTCATTTGTACAAAGACACAACTGACATTCAATGTGCCCAGAAGTATGCAAAGTAAATCAACAATGGCCCATCGTGCAGTCAAACTACACTAGTTAGTCAACTAGTCATGTCATTTGTATGAGTCAAGACAGACACAGCCATTGTTGAACGCGGAGAAAATCGTGGAACGGAAGGGTCCGCCCGGGTTGGAGAAAGAATGGCGTCTTCCGGCCGATAGAATGTAAGGGAAAAAGGGGAATAATTTGGAAAAGGGGAATGGAAAAAATTTTTGAACGTGAGGAAATACAACTATTTCCCCAAAACCCGAATTCTTAAAAACCGATTCCCATAAATTGTCTCCAATCTCACCCATCGCATAAAATCACCCGGAATCAGCCATTGCACTAGGAAAAGTCCCATAGGGAGTGAGTAGTGTGCCTGGAGAATACAGAGATTACAGCAATTACTGGCATTACTGCATCCAAGCCCGGCGATCCCCGAGGGAAACCCACGGTTGTTCCACCCTCCATCACAAGCAAAAGAGAGTTATCGTTATCCAATCTTCCTTTACCCCGCAGGCTCTCTCCCGTCGAGAGCCGATTCAATCAGCAACCCTGGCGGCCAAACGCACTCCCCAGCAGCGATTGAGCCTGATTTCCAGGCACCTGGATCAGCGACTCCCGCTGCCGGAGCTTAACACTCCCTTCTCGACCGAGAGGAACTCGTTGGCTCCCGACGATATCGAATATAAACCCCTCGATCGCACTGCTTCCACTCCGACTACCTCTCCTTCGACTCCTTCGACTCCTTCCTCTCCCACTGACTCCTCTCCCCCCACCGCCAAAATGTCCTCCCAAGCCCCTCACCCCACCCTGTTGATCCCAGGGCCCATTGAATTCGACGATGCTGTCCTCCAGTCAATGGCTCACTATGCGTAAGTTAAACCCCTTCCCCCCTCCTCGTCCTTTTTCCTCCGATCTGCCCCTCATTGACCGATTTCTTGGCTTCCAGTGAGAGCCATGTCGCCCCCGGTTTCGTCAAGACTTTCGGAGAGACCCTGTCCATGGTCCGGAAACTCTTCCAGTCCTCCAACCCTGCTGCTCAGCCTTTCGTCATCTCCGGTAGTGGTACTCTCGGCTGGGATATCGTGGCCTCCAACCTGATCGAGAAGGGTGAGAATGCCCTGGTTCTGCACACCGGTTACTTCGCCGACTCCTTCGCTACCTGCCTGGAAACCTACGGCGCCAATGCCACCCAGCTCAAGGCCCCCATCGGCGAACGCCCCTCTTTCGAGCAGATCGAGCAGGCCCTCAAGGAGAAGCCCTACAAGATCATCACCATCACCCACGTCGACACCTCGACTGGTGTCCTCAGCGACATCAAGCGCGTGGCCGAGGTCGTCCGCCGTGTCAGCCCCCAGACCCTGATCGTCGTCGACGGTGTCTGCAGTGTCGGCTGCGAAGAGATCGCTTTTGACGAATGGGACATTGACGTCGTCCTTACGGCCAGTCAGAAGGCCATTGGCTGCCCGCCCGGCCTCAGCATCCTGATGCTGTCCGGCCGTGCCATCGACACCTTCAAGACCCGCCAGACGCCCCCATCCTCCTACTACGCCTCCATCGCCAACTGGCTCCCCATCATGCAGAACTATGAGAACTTCAAGCCCTCCTACTTCGCCACCCCTCCCACCCAGCTCGTCCACGCCCTGCACACCACCCTCTCCCAGATCACCGCCCGCCCCATGTCGGAGCGCTACGCCATCCACGCCCAGGCCTCCGACCGCGTCAAGGCTGCTGTCGCCGAGCTCGGTCTGCAGCAGGTTGCTTCCCAGCCCGAGAACCAGGCTCACGCCATGACGGCCATCTGGCTGCCGGAGGGTCTGGCTCCCCCGGACATCCTGCCGGGTCTGCTGAAGCGCGGCGTCATCTTTGCAGCGGGTCTGCACAAGCAGGTTGCCACCAAGTACATCCGCTTCGGACACATGGGCGTCAGCGTTACGGATCCCAACCGCTCAGACGTCGACAAGGCCATTGCTGCCTTGAAGGAAGCCTTGACAGAGGCCAAGCAGGCCAAGGGTCTGTAATATCAATTAGTACCATAACGATATTTTAGACGAACAAGCCAAACAAAAAGAAATTATAACGAAATGAATAAAAATTGGATAAAATATTACACAAAGTATAGCTACATCAATAAGCTGCCGTAATATTCATACTTTGTATCAACCCGAACTCCCCGATGTCGGACAAGCCGCGATAACGATAATTAAACAGCGATAGGAACTGACAGCTTCTGCCATATTACCCTATCGGGTTTACCATTTATTCCGTCTCCACTTGGCCTGCAGTATATCTAGTCTTACTATGTAAGTATCTCGTTAGTATAGCACATACAGCATTGAATAATAATTGGAGCACCTCGAGTAAAATTCATTTCTACGTAGTACGTAGTATAGATTACGTGATATTCTGACAGTCATGCCATCATCACCTCGATTAGTTCATAGTTACTCCATACTATTTATTCAGTGGTAACTGTCCCCACTACAGCATATATATTTACCCACGCCTATCATGACAAGACTGGCACAACTGTTAGTACTAGTTACTAAGAACTTAGCATCGTAAGTCCCTGAGTCGAGCTATACTACTTACCTGTAACAGCTCTTGCTTTTTTCAAACAGAAAAGAGTAGTACGACTCGGGAGATCTAATTCGATTGAACCAACAGGCCATTGATGGAATGGAATGATCTATCCCCAGGCTAATTGACATGACAGACATACAAAAGCAGTAAGAAACCCACAACTGGATCCCAATTGATTCTTTCAGTCAAAGAAGAGAAACAAAGTCGTAGTTAGCAACGCTGTCTTGATGAATAAAATTCAGACAGGAAGGTATATTGTATTTGAGGTGGGCAGTTGAGGATGGATCCTGACTCGTGAGACAAGGTGGAACAGAATGACACAAATGTAAGAATAGAGAATAGTATAGAAGAATGACAATGGAAAATAAAGGAATTACAAGAATCTGTAGGGTGACAAAGTAGTAGGATAATAAAGGCAAAAGGATAAAAACAGGAGAGGGGGTATGGTATGGTAATGGAATGGAGAGGAACAAACAATATGCTTCAGTGAACACTCCTCATGCTTTCCCTTCAGCCTCTTCTTTACATGAGCTGAGCTGAGCTATGAATGCATTATAAGAACTTCCGTAAACATCAAACTGTGCTTTCTCTTTCTTTCTTTCTTTCTTCCTTTTTTCTGATTATCGTTTCTATGGTCTGGTAAAGGCCTCCACCCTCGCCCCTCGGCGCCAGATTAAGCTTCCGCTTCCCCTCTACGCAAGGCCAAAAATGCCCGCACATCGGTCACATACTGCAAAGCTTCTAACATGGGGACGAGGTGAAGAAGACCATTATCCGTGGGATCATTAATCCAGCCCTCGATTGGGATAGCATTATCTATTGCAAGTGTTAGAGCAGGCCGGAATATGGCGGTAGAACCACGCCGAAGTCGAGACATACCTTCGTGAAAAATATAACTCATAGGACTGTTGTCCAGGATCATCACCTTACTCAAATCAGGCTCCACAGAGCTGAGGTCCTTGATATATGCACCATTCCGTAAAGTACAGTGCTGACGGTAATACCGCGCCTGGAAGTATTTCCGCTCCTGCTCAAGCCAGTCAATGACTGGATCCGCATACTCTTGCACACTGGCTGTGAAGATGACCAGCTTGTACCACTTGGAGATCTTGCGCAAGAACTCATCACAGTGGGGTCGTTTGTGTACGTAATACAAAATAGGGTGCTGCGGGCCCAGAGTCGTGGGAGGTCCGCCGGGTGTGAGTGCAGTCGTCATCGGCGTGGACAGTTTGACCTCAACCATGTGGCCACTGGACATGCGGCCGCCTTTGGCCAGGGAATGAATGAGAGTCTCATCCAGATCGAGGACTAGAGTCTTTTGCGGGCTCTTGGGAAGGCGGAGGTTGGCCGTGTAAGACGGCACACGGGGTGGAATCAGCGGGCGAGGAGGGATAGGAGAATGCGGATACCTGGTGAGGCTATGCACAGACGGAGACGTGGGAGATTTGAGACTGTCAAGGTTGAGAGTACCCTGAACCCCATTTTCCGATGTCTGGCGCAGATCAGCACTTTGCGACCGACGTTGCCTCTGTCGTTTGAGTGCCTCTTCACTATGAAGCTTGATCCGGATCGAGCGTCTAGGAGCGGTCTCATCTGGCCTTGGTTCTGGACTGGACGATTTTGCCTTGGAGGTTCGTGACCGACTATTGCCGAGTGCCTTGGCGCTCCGGCGATCTCCTTCCGACTCGGACGTGCTCGAAGCGATGGAATCCCGTGAAACGTTGCTTCTAGACCGTCGCGAAGTACCTGTTCGTCGCTTGCTCTCCGCTTGTCGACTACCTCTACCCGCCGTCGTGGAGCCAGTCGACTTGGATGGGCGGCGAGACACGGACCGTCGTAGCTTTCTCACGGGTGCCATAAAAGAGTAATGACCGTTATCGTCTTCGAAACATTGGGCAACATAAAAACCGGGCGCAGCTAAGGTGGATAATATGAACTTGATCGTTTCCGCAATCGCATCAAAGAACCGTTGGGCAACGAATCCTAGGGTGCTTTTCGTAGCAAATGAACCATCTTTCTGTATACTTCGTAATAGGGGCGATTTCTCATCAAACGTAATTTCGTGGGAGTAGTTTATATTCTCGTCGGGCGCATCATGGCCATTCTCGTGGGCCTCGGTCGAGTGAAAATTGCTTTCGCTGTACGACCGAAGTTTGGCAAGGTCGCCGGGCTCACTCGCTCTGGCAACGTCTCCCTGAGACCGGGAACGCTGACGGCTCCGAGCTGGGAGGGACGACTGGCCAATGACTCGAGACGAGAGGATGTTGAGCGAGTTCATCTTCCCACACGGCCCACGGGTGTCTGGGCTGGCGCAGGTGACTAGAGGGAGAAGGAGCGTAGGTCAGCAATCATTTATATACTGCAAGCTAGATAGTCGAGGCCGGTGATGGGACCGGGGATGTTGGAGCATGATGCGGTGATATGGAGAGCCGAAACTGTTGGGGTCTACGGACCTCAATGCGCCAGTCGACAACCCGTGCTTTTTCGGATTTCACCGTTACCCGACTTGGTGGATGGCGGAATGACGACAAGTAGATCCGAGGAAAGGACGGGCGGAAAGGAGAGCCCGAACGTGCGGAATTCACGGCGACAACGAGAGGGAGGCCTCACGGAGAGAGGGGAGGTATGAGGGAGGAAGGGCTGGGGGGGAGGAGGAAGTTGAGACGGACAGCAGCCGATCAGCCGGCGGATGAAGTTGAGGAACGATGGGCCGAAGTAAGAAAGTGTGGGGAGAGCAAGAGGAGAGAGTGAGAGTGAGAGAGAAGCGGCCTGGCCGTATGTTACGCTGAGACCGTATGTATGTATGGACGTATGTATGTACGGTTGGGCCGAGCGCAGTTGAGACCGAAAGAAAGCGGGCAAATTCTCCCGCCGTCACCACATCCCACCTTCTCCTCCTCTTCCTCCCTCTGACTTCCCCCCTCTAACACCCTCACTTTTCTCCCCCCCAAAAAAGTCTCCCACGTGGAGTTCGTTATTCTCCGCTTCGATCTGGTCATAGATTCCTCAACCGGTGCAATTTCGAGAAATCTTCCAGCGACCTCAAAGGTACGCTACCGTTCGCGACCATATGACTCCTCCACCTTCTAACACTGTGCGTGCCTGACCAGGAAGCCATTGGAGCTTGTCAAGACCTTCAACCCTGCCAGTCAACTTAATAAGAGACCCTTTCGCGGTTAATCGCAACCATGCCGTCCACTTCCGCGGCCCTGACGCCTGGATTGGCGTCGTTCCTCAAGTCCTTGAAGACGAATCCGATTGATACATCGATTGAGGATCTGATCTCGTGCGTCCTCGACGTCATATCACCGCGTGTCGCAGCAGCTCGTGCAACATACTGACCAGCCTCTAGGCTTCTGAAACGCAGACAGATTCGCCATTCCAGATCATGCGCGACCGCAACCGCCTACCTTCTGCGCAGTGTTATCTCGGCCACTCGGACTTCGGATGCGAACAAGATGATCGAGCGGGTCCAGCATGTGGGAAGGCGCGTGATGGCTGCTCAGCCTAGGGAGATGGTGGTCGGAAACATTGTCAGACGTGTGCTCGGATTGATCCGTGATGAAGCGGAAGACGACAGAGAGGCCGACTTCACTCTGAGTGAAGCGGGCTCTGAAAGCCAACCTCAGACCCCTCGTGCCCTAGACGGTCAGTCCTGTCTCATAGCACATCAAACCAGGACTATTGTGAGCTAATATTTATGCCGTTTGCAGACCCCTCCGAGGTTCTCTCTTCTCGCCATGAAGGTTCCGACCGGTCATCCTCCAGACAGCCTTTTACTTCGCTGTCGGCCACTCCCATTTCCATGTTCAGTCTCCTCTCACACCCAGAGCCTGAGTCGTCTTTGCCTGGCACTCCGGCCTCTGCGTCTCCGTCCGGCCGCCTACTTGGCCAAAGCCACAACAAAGACATCCGTGCCGAAGTTCTCGACGGTATCAACGAGATTATCGATGAGTTGGGCCAGGTAGACGACCAGATTGCGGCCTATGCTTTGGAACACATTCACTCCAACGAAATCATCCTCACACACACATCTTCGACTACCGTCCAAAAATTCTTGCTCAAGGCTGCGGCCAAGCGCAAGTTCACCGTGATCCATGCCGAATCTTATCCTAACAACCATGAAGCGACCCATGCCACTGTCAGCGGACAGGCTCCTAAGGACGACGACATTCTGAGCACCGAGGCTTTCCAGAAACCTCTGATTGCTCTTGGCATCACTGTTATTCTCATCCCTGACTCCGCAGTCTTCGCGCTCATGTCCCGTGTCAACAAGGTCATCTTGGGCACACACTCGGTCCTTGCCAACGGCGGATTGGTCGCTGCGGCAGGCACGCGAGTCATCGCTCGCGCGGCCAAGGTGCACCAGACTCCCGTGGTCGTTGTGAGCGGTGTCTACAAGCTCAGCCCTGTCTACCCGTTCGACTTCGACTCGCTGATCGAGTATGGCGATGTCAGCAAAGTTATTGGGTACGAAGATGGTGACCTAGTAGACCAAATTGACGTTCAGAACCCGCTCTACGACTATGTCCCCGCGGAACTGGTCGACCTTTACATCACTAACCTGTAAGTTACCCTACAATTCGGCCCATTAAGTCTGCAGAACTGAAAAGCACTCCAGGGGAGGCCATGCGCCATCTTACCTTTACCGTATTGTCTCGGACCACTACCGCAAGGAGGATATCAACGTCTAACGGTTCTGAGGATTATGGAAATGGAAATGAATCAACATATGAACAAAAACTTAAGGGAATGCAGATGGCTGCAAGAAGACATGCAAAAATACGGCTATAGATGAGTAAGGCGTAAGGGCATAGATAATGGAACGCAACGATACCCGCGGGGAAACTAGGATAATCTTTATGAATGAGATCAGTCCTTATCGAATGACGCACCCAGCGATGTAGATACTACAGTAGTATATGCGTTCTAGATCCGCAGATTGCCGCAAGGCTAGTTTGATCTACAAAAACAACTACGACAAGAGCTAGACTCTTTTTTTTTTTTTTTTTGAAGGATTTGAATTTTAGGGCCCTCCCAAAGAAATAAATCATGGCGCCATCTTTTATGGATATATCAATCGTAGTACGCTGCAAATGGTATGTATTTTGCAGGGTCTCATCCGTCCTGAACCATCAATTCCAGACCATAGACTTGTGTTTGCTTTGCCTTTTGCCCCGAAGCATCTTCCATGGAATGGGCCCCCTTCCACCCCGCTAATAACATCTTTATTAAATTCCCCAGGGTTTGGGTTATTTAAGAGCGGGGCTTCTCCTTCTTCTCCTTCCAGAGAGCGAGCAGACCGACACCGGAGACCTTGACGACCTTGAAACGGACACCGGGAATATCACCCTTGGCCTTGCCCTTACGACCGAAACCGGCGAGGAGGACCTCGTCGTTCTCATCGATGAAGTTCAAGCAACCGTCGTTGGGGACTATACAGAGCACCATATGTTAGCACAATCGATACCCAGAATCAGATATTAAATATTTTCCCGGTGTCGCCCCCAACTCCATTCCATGCTCCCCTTGCCCTTCTCTCATATTGTCTGTGTCCTCCACACACACATAGAATTCCATCATATAATCCCCCAAACCAAACACATCCATCCATCCACAACAACCGGGAAAATAAAGAGAAATAAAGAGGATAGGATCACCCACCGAAAGCGGTAACCTTCTTGCCGTTCTTGATGAGCTGGACCTTGACACACTTGCGAATAGCGGAGTTGGGCTGCTTGGCCTCAACACCGACCTTCTCAAGAACGATACCCTTGGCGTGGGAGGCACCTCCGAAGGGAGAGGACTTGTAGGCAGTACCGAGGAGGCGCTTCTTGTAGTGCAGATCGGCCCAGCGGTTCTCGCGACGGGTGGTCGCGAGCTTGCGGGCGGCGTTCAAACCACGGGGCTGTCCCTTACCCATCTTGTCGGATTATGTTCGAAGGAGGGTGAACTGTAGAAAAAGCAAGAATTTCCGTTAGAATTATGTTATTTTTCCAATAAATGGGTGATATTTCGGTGATGAAGTTGGAAAAGTTGCAGGTGGCGGGCGTGTTTGCGGATTTCTCTCTCTCAAGATTCGGGGATATATATATATGGCGGACTTTGTGTGTGCGTAGGGGGAATTTCTCCGTGTCCTTTTTCGCAACCAGGGAAATATCGACTGGTGATAATAAATTCACAATAGGGGGGGGGGAAGTATCTCTATACGTACCGAACTGATGGATAAAATTGGCTGGATGGGCGGATGGTTGTCGAAAGTCGAAGGGGGGGTTCGCTTTCACGGCCGGCGGTCGCTCGACTAGATCGAAAATGTTCTGCTGTGCGGCTTCGCCCTAAACGGCCGCTAAGCGAGGCACGGGACTCGGGCTGGGTCGGAGTCGGAGAAACTTCGGCCCTCTCCGTCTCTCTCTCTGTGGTTTCTGATAACGATAAGGATGCTGTCACTCCTATCACCACTTCTCTACTTTTCTAACTATATGATTGATCTTCAACTGTGGTCCGATACACCATTATAATGTTTAGTTTATAGCAAGAAGAAAGAAGAAATAAACATACTGCCAACCATGGACCCTCCACTCAGAATGGATCCCAAAATGGATCCTAAAATGGACACCAGGAAGATAAGTGCCCAGCGTCTTCCCCCGCCTGTCCTCTTCCAAGGCCCGCCGTCACATAATGCCTCCAACCTCTCTCTTCCCCCGCCGGTATCCGCTGTTCCGACAACGGGAGCCTCTCCGCGGCCGCCTCTGCAGCGCAATCGCTCGTCTCGGGCAGGAACCCTCGAGGCCCCGGGGTCCCTCTCGCCATTCCTGACTCGCAAACAGTCTAAGGGGGAGGTGGACGGCTCCGAGGCCATATGGCAGGAGATGCAGAGCGCATTGTCCGAGGTCGAGCTGAGCGCGGCAACGGGCGAACATGTCTTTGGGGAGAAGCACTCTGAGGCGTTGGAAGATCTCCGGACAAAACAGCTGAAGCTTGCGCAGGCGTGGGCGCGCAGCGAAGCCGGGGATGAGGTTGTGGAAACAAAAGGTGCTGCCGCTGCTGCTGCGGCCACGGCAAAGAGTAATGCGTCGCTGCGACCAGCGTCGCGAAGCACGGCTGGACCGGGCGATTCTGCTAATCCTGAGGATGGTTCCTCGCGGAATCTGGATGAGGAGACGGAGAAGGATATCCTCCTCGCACGGGAGAGACGGGAGGCTAATGATCGATATTTCGATCGGGTTAATAATGGTGTCTTGGACGTGGTGGCCAAGCTAGAGGAAGTCGCTCAGGCTATGCGCGCAGTGGAAAGAGAGAGCAAAGATATCTGGAGTGATACTGATAGCATGAGTACCACGACGCAAACCACGACTGATACTGGGTGAGCTAGCTGTTGGCTTATACAGGCATTCTATGGGCACTGCTTGATAGCCCTCTGTATTATAGAATAAGGCGACTAGCCCACTGACAGTGGATATGCATTGCTGTCAACGCGGCATACAGTGTCCAAGTACCAGCAGTCGCAAGACAATCGCATCAAGTCTGCGCCAACCCGCATACTTAACCCACCACATAGGCGGCAACAACCCCAAAGAAGTCCTGCTTCATATACCCAGCAAACACCACGAATCAAGAAAACAATAAATGTAGCATTATACCGCTAGTCAAACAAATCAAATCCAAACAACCTATAAATATAGAACAAAAAATCAAAGGGTATCTGAAACTTCATCTCCATCGAACCCACACCTACACCCAACGCAAACCATAAACAAAGGGCAGCACTAGGAGACAAATCTATCTACTCCTTCTTTACCAACCTCACCACCGTCTTCCACCCCTCCACAGCCGTATCCCGCGCATCCTCCCACCGACTCTCATACGCCTTCCTCGCCAACGTCTCCACCTCTTGGTTCCAGCGATGTTTCAAGAAGTCCTTCAAGACGGGTTTCGTCTTCCGGTATTCTTCCTCACCCGGACGCTTCTGGGTCTCTTGAGGCAATAAGCGACGATCGTATGCGCCTGCTGATGAGGCCAGCCAGTTCAGAGCGCGGGTTTGTTCGCGAATGGCATTGCGCTGTTCCAGGCGATTGGCTTTGTGTACTTGGAGGGAGATGTACAGGACGGAGGTGGTGAGGGCGAAGCCGCTGAACTGATTTGGGCGTAAGCTATGATTTTTTGGTTTGGTTTGATTTGTATGGGAGGGATAATGGGGTTGAAGGGACGGATGGATGGATGTAGGATAAGTGGATGAAGAGGTGGGAGAGTGGTAAGGGCATAACGGGAACTTACGAAGCCAGCGAAGAAGCCCATGTTATCTCTATTTTCGAAATTACAAGACCGGGTATTCACAGATGGTTTGACCAAAGCCAAATAGAGGATGTCGAGGTTGGTAGAGTGTACAGATGAAAGCGGGGGTTCTTCAAAGCCCTTGCGGACAATCAGACAATCGGGATTGATTGAGATGGAACGACGAGGAGTATCGGTCTCGTCTGATGTGACCACCAAGCGGAGATGAGGACAAAATAAATATGTCCAACTTGTCCAAATACCACTGTACAGTTCAGGCAAAAGAGATTCCCCGATTATAAGACGCAAAAGAACTCAATGGGGGATCGAAGGAAGAATTGAAGATCAAAGATGTTCCCAAACGGAGGAGAAAGTCGGGGCTGCCGTACCCGCACTCCGATTGGCTACGCGGCGAATCGAATCTTTCCGCCATCTCCATCTCCAGCTTCATCTTTCCCTCTCAACGACAACGAAAAACAACCCGCGAGTCCTGATATTCCATTGATCCTCCACCCCGGTTTCAATCCCATCCGGTTTTATCGAATTGATCCATCCCATTCCACCGCCTGGCCCCCAAAGCCAGCTTATCCACACACTCCGCACCGGAAAGAAACCCATATCAAATAAACCACCCTCACCACCACCGACATTATGGCCGGAGGTGCTGCCAAATTCCGCCATCTGAGCCGCAAGTCCTCTCACAGACAGGCCCTCCTCCGCAACCTCGTCACCTCTCTCTTTCAGCATGAATCCATCACAACCACATGGGCCAAGGCCAAGGAGGCGCAACGACTGGCCGAGAAGCTGATCACCCTGGGCAAGAAGAACACCGAAGCGAGCCGGAAGCGCGCATTGTCGACCTTTTATGTATGATGCTGCCCCTCTATCCTTTGATTTCTTTCTCAGGACATATTTCATACATACCGTGGAGAATACACGATAGATGAAAGCGAACAATCTCAACTAACCAAATGAATCAATAGACCCCCCACGAACTCCTCCCCAAGCTCTTCGGTCCCCTTCGTGAACGCTACGCCGAACGTCCCGGTGGCTACACGCGAGTTCTGCGTGTCGAACCCAAGAAGGATGATCAAGCCGCCAGTGCAATCCTGGAGTTGGTAGATGGACCTAAAGATATGCGGTTTGCTTTGACGGCGCGGACAGTTGCTAGACAGCGGTCTCAGGGCTTGGAAACCCTCAATGAACTCACCACAATGAATGTGAATAAGGTCACGCGGTTCCGGAAGGGGGGAATCTCTGATCTCGAGAGGGAGATCAAGCGCTTAGAGATTACGGGTCATGGAAAGGAGGAGGCGGGGAAGGCCAAGCCTGCGAAACAATAGAGTGAGGGTGTAAGTGATCGATGGTGGTGGTGGTGGTGGCCTAGGTGGCCTTTATACTGTGTACCTTTACTATTTCTTTACCTTCACTGCTGTGTGCTTGGGCCTTGTGTTTTGGCTAGTCATGATTGTGTAATTTTAGCTGTTTTGTTTCAGTGGTGTTGTGTATGTAGATTGGACCCGTTCATCCCCTTCGTCGAGATTATCTCCAGGTAGTGACGACTACTTATACATCTACGTCAATATCTTAACACTTGGTGTCATACAGTGTATTTATCTAAGCACTATCGCCTGCCCCTCCCAAGCCAGCAAGATCTAGCAAACATAGCAATGCTCAAAGTACATCGAGTAATTCAGGTTTCCAACCAAGTCCCGAACGCCCACGAAATCCCAGTCGTCGACAGCGAGGGGTTGGGCGGCGCTGACAGGACCTTGAAACCCAGTTCCCACGCATCAAATCATTTCTCTCTCCCACAAGAGATACGACGCTGATCACGACTAACAGTTCCTATGTCTAATCTTCCAGAGATACAGGACGGCCACGTCAGGAACCTTGTCACCAGCAACACATCACGCCAACATTGAACCATATGTACTTTTGGTAGAAAACAGTCAAGTAGTAGTATCACTCTAATGAAGAAAAGCTTTGTCTGCCCTAGGCAGGAGCACGTCAGTTGACCCGTGGCAGGCTTGCTCCGCCAGAAACAACTAGCGGCCCGTTTTTGGTGGCGGGGAGCGTGTTGCCCGAGTAAGGATGCGTCGAGCTGGGCCCACTGCGCGGTTTCAAGTCAAAGTCAGAAGGCACCTCGGACGGTGGTGGCTTGGGTGGCAGATGTGACGGTGTCCCCCACTTCGCAATAGAATCTCTGCCTCCCGAAGGCCCACCGCGGGTCGGGCCATGTCCAACTGAACCAGGCATGTCTTGAGCCTTGCTGTTCAAATCTTGGAATCCGGACCACTGGGGCTGCATGCCCGGCTGCATACCGGGATATGGGTTCATACCATGCTGGTTGCCCTTGCTGGGGTGCCGTGCTAACGTCGCACCACCAGGGACAAATGAGCGGGTTTGTGGGTTGAAAGGCGACCTATTGAAGCTTCCGGGCAAAGGGTGAGCACCGCCGTGGCCCTGCATCCCCGGGCTCATGGGCTGTCCGGGATATTGAGCATAAGGATAAGATGTCGGTGTGGGAGGCTGCGTTTGATAGCCGGCCCATCCAGATGGGGGAGGATTGCGATGTGATGGTTGTGGATAGGCGCCGGGATAAGGTGGCGTGGACCAACCAGGATTGGGTTGATATTGGACGGAGTTTGGCATAGGATAACTGCTTAACGCAGGGGACGACTTAGTGGATGCCATCGCGGGCGACTGGTTGATGGTCGCATATCCAGAGTAGGGGGACTGCTGGGGCACAGGGCCGTTCTGCCATGGGCCACTGGGGGTCATCTGAGGCGACACAGGCATCGAATAATGTGGCATAGCATTCATGTTCATGGGCCCGGAATACATTGGACCAGTCTGGCCACTCTGACCGTAGCCCATACTAGGCGGCGACACACCGGGTCCCACCATGCAAGGTTGGGCTGGGAAAGACGGATCGTTGACAGCCATGCCGTAGGGCATTGGTCCGTTGGCATAAGGCATTCCCGGGTAATACGCGTTGAACTGAGATCGAACCTCGAAACTGTCATCGTGAGGAGTTTTCTGGCGCTGTGCCTTTTTGCGTCCACTTGTTGAGCTCGAGCGTGACATATTGGTACCGGAAGAATCGCCATTGGCGTTCTCAGTACTCTTGGATTCGGTAAAATCACGGAAAATTCGCTCCCTAGCTTCCTGGTACTTGGCCTCCCTTTCCTCGCGAGTCAAGGTCAACCTGTCCTTGGCTGGGGTAGATCCCCGCTCCCCGTCGTTTCCGCTGTCCCCGTCTTCGGATCCGTTCTTAGATGCAGCGGACGAGCTTGCCGCGATGCTACCCTCGGTGGAAGGCCGCTCACTATCGGTACGACGCATGATCTTCATTGCAGGCATGGCGGGAGGCGGAGTACTGTTAGTCGTAGCGTGGAGAACTGAGAGAGGCGTAGGGCTACAAAAATTAGCACATGTCAACCATAAAAGATGTGAGGATCGCAGCGCAGACGTACAGCCGACAGAAAGGCGTCCGATGAAGCCGGACGGATGTGACATTATTGTCAACAAAGTGCGTCAGATGATAGTAATCGCCCAGCTTGTGTGCAAGGAGCCGCCCAAAAGCGTTCGAAGGCGGGAGTTCCAAAGAGTGCTCCCTAGGAAATCATCAGAATACTGAACTCAGAACCACAAAGGCAACATGGTGGCCGACTTACTTGGAATTCTGTATAAAGTATCGGACCTTTTCTTCCAGTTGAAGAATCAAGAGGCGGTCTTTGGGGGACTTCATAGCCTCAAGGAGTTTCTCGTCGGGCTCTGACGGGAACCCATGTATAGGCCGTCCTGCTTGAAAAGCATCGGCATTCGGGTAATTGTTGGCGACAGTGTCTGGCAGTATGGCACCATTTGTGCGCTGCATACCATCAACGAAGATAGGTCCCGTGGGCTGAAGAATTCCCCTTGGTCTCTGTAAGAATCCGCGGGCACCTGACTCTGACCCTGTCAGTGAATTCGGGGCACCGGAGGCGTGCCCAGATAGGGACTCCTCCTCATCAATGGCCTGAACGCTCGCACTGTCATCCGGACGCAAAGAATCTTTTTCGTCCATTGCGAATGTCGTTACAGAAGCCATGCTCTTAGAATCGAAGCTCGTGGGCTTGGTTGAGGAGTTTGAAAGATGAGTACGATCATCCTCGAACGAGTTCTCCCGTTTCAAAGAAGCGCTGTCTGCAACCTCATTGGAGAATACAGGACCGTCGTGGTACTTTTTGTCATCGATGTGGACACCATGTACGGCCTGCGATAGACTGTCGACGTTTCGATCAACAGCGACAGCCTCGTTTCGGACGGAATTCGGGTCTCCCTGGCTGGAGGGGACATTTTCCGAGCCATGTTGTTCGGAACATGATGAAGGGTCATCGACGGACTGTAAGCCGTTCAA